GGGTGGCAATAGCAGCAGCAGCAGCTCTGCCCTACCTTGCCCGGGCGTTTCCAGGGGAGCCAAGAATTATTTTGCCGCAACACTGAGGTGTGGCTGGTTGGAAAATTCCCTTTTCTGACACCAAACTAAAGGACAGATATTTTCTCCCAGTTGGGCCAACCCTCTGTGCACCTGTCTACCTCCCCAGCCCTTCCCCCTGTACGAAGTTTGGGGTGCCCTGAGCTCCTGAGAGCATGAAATAAAAAGGCCCAGGAAGAGGCTTCTGCTGGTCAGTCAAAAGCAGGCAGCCAGGAGCACATACGCACACCCCTAAACAGATTTTAGAAAGCTGCTGGGCTTCTCCCCCCTCCCCTTTAAGCAAGTGAAATGCAAATTCAGATTTGATACCTTGCCCTCAGCCAATGGAAAAGAGGTTTTCACCTGCCACGGGCCAACCCACCAATCAGAGGAAGTGTCTGGAGTGAGAGCCCTCCCCTGGCCAATGGAAGGCCAGCTCAGTCACTTAGTTAATGATGCAGCAGTACAAGGAAGGCCATCACATGTGAACTGGAAGGGTGCCAACATGGAGACACAGAGCGCGCAAGGTAAACAACTTTCCAACGCCAAAGGGATGACATTTAATCTCTAAATGCTGGCTTCCCTGCTCAGCTCGTCTTTAAACCCTCCCGGCTGGCCCCACACACCCCGGGAACCTCACTACCTGTCCCCCCAGAGAGCCTAACAAGATGCAACAGTGACTGCGTCACCATTCCCCACTTTCCCCAACTACGCAGTGACAAACCAACCAGCTTCACCCCACGTCTCCCAGCCCACACCCCACCCTGCCCACCTGCTCCTCACCAGCCAGATTCCCAGGGCTGAGCGTTTCAATAAGGCAGCCCCTGGGCAACTGTTCCCTGGCCTCCCTCTCAGCACCTCTCCTTCTCACTCCCCCCTCCCCTTCCACCTGAGACCTGCTCGGACAGACAGACAGTGCTGACACTTAACCTGGAAAACCAGTCCGTATGTCTGCCCAACAGGAGAAAAGGAGGATAAAGACTAGGAGGTCAGGTGGGACGCCCGGGACAGCTTGCTCCTCTCTCCTCTCCCCTGAACAGGTTTGAGCAGCTGACACGAAGGGAAAAGAAACTGAAGTGGGGAGAAAAAAAAAGAAAAGCTCTCTCTCCAAGAAAAAAATAGCAAAAAGTGAGAAAGGGGGTGAGAAAGACAGAGTGCCCACATTCGCAGAGACATCGCCCCCGATCCCAGCAAATACGTACGTGGGGGAAGAAGAGGGTTACGCCATCAAGTCCTGAAGCCCATCGGACCGCCCATCGCCGGCTGCGCAGACCCAAAATCTTGGTCCGGCTGTAAGATGCCGCAGTCTCGAATGTTCCAGAAATCGGTCCGGTGAAGTCTTCCACTGTGGCTCCTCCTCCCCACGGGAACCGCCCGTGCCACCTTGCGTATCATCCTCTTATAGCCTAGGCTACCCAGAGGCCTCCAGCCCCCGGCAGATTTCTGAACGGCTTGGCAAGTGAGCTGGCAGAACCTGGTGCCCGTGTTGCTATGACTTGTTTCTTGATTTCTCTCTCTCTGCTGCAGCACGGCTGTTGCTAGCAGACCTATCGACGGAGCGCTCTCTCTCTCTCCCTCTCCCCCTCTCTCTCTCTCTGAGCTCTGTGACGCAGATCTAAATTCTCCAGTCTGCTCCTTGTGTTGCAAGAGCAGAACTGCAGCTTTTCCCCTGGAGAGCCTGAGGGCAGTGCCAAGGCTGGTCAAACAAGGCAAAAAAAAAAAAAAAAAGTTGGGCCTGCACTCGGCTCCCTGGCCACACTTTCCCCCGTCCCATTTTTACCCCACACCTCACTGCTCTGGGGCATCGAGAGCCTGGTCCCTGCAGGCTCACACCTTCCCTGAGGGCTTCCCAGCCACAAGACCAGCTTAACTCTTTGAGGGACAGCGCCCACAAGGCAGACAAGGCTGTCCCACACCAAATGTTGCGTCATCTTTTCTTGAGCCCTGGGAGAAGGCCCTGTGAGCTTCTCCCGGCTGGCCATAAGAAACAAATGGTCCTTCGCCCTGAGACCACTGTCCTGTTAACTCTTTCTGCCACAGACAAGTCCAGATTCACAGCGCAGCTGGTCTGTGCTGTGTTTTGCTTTTTTGGCCCCCAACCAGGACCTTTTTCTCCCTGGAATGTCCTAAAGACAAGAAGTGTAATTAAAACATTGCCTGGCTTATCCCACGAGTGAGATCCTGGTATCAGGGCAGGAACCGGAGAGCCCAAATTGAATGGCAGCCTGAAGAATCCAGAGCAAAAGCGTCTGGGTCTCCATTCTTCCTGAGCTCAGAATTTTAGAGACGGGGTGGATCCGTCCAAATCGCTCCTCAAAAGGCACTTATGCCACACTCAGTCCCGGAGATCCAGGTTGCTGAGTCATTTGTTCCCAAGAAGATCCTCCGACAACATGAAAAGCAGCAAAACAGAGCGGCAGCCACGCCTGGATCTGGAGTGGCCAAGGACTGGGTTCTTCTCTCTGGGGGTGGGCGGCCAAGTGAGATAAGGCGCCACCAGCCCACCCGCACTGCCCCTGTGATGGTAATGTCTGGGCATTCACATACCTGGACACTCTTTTGGGGACGGGGGTTGGGGGGCACCAATGCTCTGGAGAAGGCCTGAGACTGTCTTAGGAGACTGACACGTCTCCACTACAGCACAGATATGTTTCCAGAACAATTCCGATGCTATCCCTGGACCCGGTATACCTAGGCAGACCCAAGGGGTCTTGGGTCCCACATCACTACATCCAAAGAATCCAGACCCATAAAGGTTTCTGACAACCAGTTGCACCCTAGGAGGCTAGACCTGACTGCAAGTGAGAGAGCTACTCGGGTCCTGGGGCAGGTAACTCATAAAGTACATCGTACCAAGAACCCTGCCACTCCCAAGAAGATGGCTTGAGGAAGAGAGGCCAGGCAGCCACGTTATCCCGTGCCCTGCCTCCCCAGCCGCTTTCTTCAAGCAACTACCCTGGGCCCCGGTTTCACGCAGCAAGAAGACCACTTGGAAGTCAACCACGGCACTCCACGGTTTTCAAAGAAGCCCAGAGCATCATCGGTGCCAGGCTCCCCGCGGGGGGCAAAGTGCTTCAAATTCACACCTTCTGGGCTCCAGGGTAGAGCATGCCAATGAAGAAGTTACCCACTGGTCTGATGACCGAAGGAAGGCAGCCTTGATGGCACTAGAGCCAGCCCCCCGGAATGGTCCTCTGCCTACTTAAATACCATTTGCCGGAGTTTCCTTTTCCATGGAAGAAAAACATGCCTAAGTTCATGTCAGGACATTCCTGATTTATCCAAGAGCCCAGGATCAAATAAACAAAGGGCTCTGAGCTCTGCCAGGGAGCCTCCTGCTCCGGGACAGAGAACCAGGGGGAAGTAGGGCTCCGCGCACAGTTGGCCCATCACCCCGTGAACCTGGTGAATGACGTGGCTGCTCGCTGCCATGGCGCTGGGGATGTCACGGGTGGGTGGTGGTGAGAAAGAAGAGGCAAGTCAGTCATGAGAGACAGAGCAAGAGCAAGTTCGGGTCAGAGGAGGGCCGTTCACAGCCACAGGGGCTGCAGGTAGAGGTCGACTGTGGTCAGCCTCTGAGCTTGGGTAAATGCAAAGAAAGGTCCCCGTCTCGGGCTCAGCCGGAACCGACTCTGACTTGCAAAGCAGTATGACGAGCTCTATGTTTGGGAAGCTTTTGTTAGATTTCACTCTTCGCCTAAGTCTTCTCTTCTTCTTCTTCTTCTTCCCACAGCCCCATCACCGTTCTTACCATGTCGCTAGGATTGAAACGGTCATTTTAGGTGCCTCTGCCCAATTCTAGCTCTTTCTTCTGTTAACTTGGTTCTGCGTGGCACCGAGAGCAGAAACACCCCAATGGGATGACCAGGAAGCAGAAACGAATTTGGTTCCAAAAAAACCAGGGGAGGATGTTTACTTAGCAAGCACGCTCGAGCCTACCAGGAAGCGACTTTACAGGGTGCTGCGTGCCGTGTTTGACTTCGGGGGGTAGAGATAACTTGTGAGTGAGGAGAAGGGGCTGGCTCCTCCCGGGCACACTCGGGGGCCTGCAGAGGCTGGGCCGGGGCAAATTTGCAAAGGCCGAGCTTCCCCTCCGAGCCAGCAGGCCACTGGTCCTCCCGGGCTTCTCTGCAGCTACAGGCCTCGGAAACTAGCCCGGCTCTCCAAACATCGCGAGCTCCCCATGGCCTCTGACGGATCTGGGTCAAAACTTTGCAATGCCAAAGACGAAGAATTTTTTTTTCTTTAAAGGGAATGAGCTGAACTTTTACCCAGCCCTTGTCCAGGGTTTGGAACAGACTCCCGTTTGACATCAGCCAGGACAGCAGGCTTGGGGCAGCCGCTACGTCCTCTCATGTCCTCATTAGGACCCACTCGGCAGGACAGGAGCTTTAATGCAGAGAGAAACTGTTTCTCTCCAGACAGGGGAGCTGGGCCGGGGCTGATCCCAAACTCCACACCAGTATCAGGGCCCGAGTGGGTGTTGCGGAGGGAGATCAGGCCCAGGCCCACAGTGACGAGGTGTTTCTGGGCTCCGCCTGGGAGGGCAGACGACGAGCACTCAGAAAATCATTTCTTAAGTTCCTACGAGGTGCTAAGCCACACACGGCCAACAATGGAAGACACAGGCCATCATCTCAAGACATACCATGCGAGTTGAGGACCCTGTCAGCATTCCCAAATTTGCATTGTTGACATATCTGCTCTTTAAAAGCTGATCTTCATTTTCCCATTGAAATATACTAAAAAAATATTGCTTGGGCTCCCAGGATAGCCCGCAAAAGCCTATTTCAGTCTCGTCAGAAAGTCGCAAACTCAAATGCCTGTGGGCTGGCCGGCAGGTAAGAAAGGCGAAGCCGCTGGGGGGATATGCCAAGTGGAAGGAGGACCCTCTACTCACAGGCAGCCCCTCCCCAGCCTGCCTGCGAGGAACAGCTGGGGATGGAGCCCCCAGGAGCCCAGATCACCCTGTTTTTCAGGAGAAGGAGGAAATCTAGATTTATTATATTAAACTCTTGATTTAAAAATAACTTTTTTTTTTTTTTACTGAGAGGAAGGGGGAGAGAGAGAGAGATAGAAACATCAACGATGAGAGAGAATCACCGATCAACAGCCTCCTGCATGCCCCACACTGGGGATCGAGCCTGCAACCCAGGCATGTGCCCTGACCGGGAATCCAACCATGACCTCCCTGTTCATAGGTCAATGCTCAACCACTGAGCCACGCTGGCTGGGCTAAACTCTTGATTTTTAAACACTGTTCAAAGTTTTAAAAGCCAAAACATACCTGCACACCTTCCAGTCTGTTTGCTCTGTGGTAATGGGTCCAAAATACAATATGTTTGCAATGAAAAATAAGAGCAGTCACTGCCAGAGTGAGGATTTAAATAAACAAAGAAGAGTCACGGAATAGGAAACTGCCTCACAGAGGCTGCGACTGGAGGAAAGAATGACACAGACAAAAACCAGGGGACCCTTGACCTTCGGCTCAAGGCTTGTCAACCAGTTCTAAGTTGAGGGCTGCTGGTAGAGCCTGCCTCAGAATCATTTAAATATTCATGACACCATTAAAGGGCTGGTATTTGTGCCCAGCCTAACCCGGCAGGAGCACAAAAGAGTCTCCCAATTGAGAGGTGCTGCTCTGAGCATCCCCAAAGGGTCCGTCCAGGGCTTTGTTGATAAAATCGGAAGGGATTATCATAATCCAGCTGCCCGTCCACGGCACCGGGCCCTCCACAAACAGCACCATGACCTAGACGTGGTGCGGTCTATCCCCTGACTGACCCAGTGACTCCCATCCCGCCTTTGGAGGTCCCACTACTGGGACAAAACTTAGTGAACTGTCTTTCCGGGTCCTATCTACCAGCCTCAGGTCTTTGCTCTGCCTTCGGGGCCCACAGAACAAGCCTACTCCCCCAAAGGCTTTCAAATATTTGAGGATAACTTTTACGACCACAAGTTTTTTAGGCTAAACCAGGAGGCACAAAAACGGAAATGAAAAAGGAGGTGGGGGGTGTGTTTGGGGGAAAGCCGGGGAGAAATCTTCTTAAAACAGCTGATCAAAAATTAACGACCCGGGGG